AAAACCGATTACCTAAACCCGAACCAATGTCGACAACCTCGAGAAACCCAACTGTAGTATCAAGAAACCGACAATTTCAAAATCACGGATTTCAAAATTTCGGAAATACTAATCTGAATTCAAATGGACAACAACGTAGGAATCCAAACTTTGTTTTCGAAGAATTACATTCTAACGAATATGACAATCAATTTGTGTCAGACCCTTTCTATTCTAATGAAAATTTATACTCCCCACCTGAGTATCAACATGATCAATATCAAAATTCCTACGATTTCAATACCGAAACACCCAAGCCTGACGAAAATATAGAATTTGATAATGACCAAGACCAAAATTTTCCTTCGGACAACCAAGACGAAAACCTGACATAGAAGAATTTAATGTCTTTCAAAGTTATTAATAATCCACTCTGGATTTAAATTCACCCACTAATTTGCTTTTTCTGTCGTGGTACACAAATCTCGACTTGCGTCGTTCCCTACACGAACAGAAAAGATAAGCTAACATGACTACCTCAAGCAATTCGATTCATTTAAAAAAAATATTAAATCAAATATCGACACCGGATTATACAATTTCTAAATATAACATATTAAACAACAGAGTTCTACCACAAAAGGAGTCGTGTTAATGAAGGGTAGGCCGTCTGGTGGAAGATAGCCGAATTTGTAATTTGAACACGTTATACTCTCCGCCCCTCGGCCCCTTAGTATTCCGCATCACCGTTCAGGCTCCTTGCGACTCCACCTCACCCTTTGGCCTCTTCGTTACTTTCCAGTCACGTGATCCTAATTGAAAGAAATGTATAGTTGTGAGAATCGAACCCGGTTCGTCCGCATGGCAGGCGTTATCCTTAGCCTCGACACTAATGATGGGTTTGTTTTGTCGGGACCGACCATATAGTGTTTCGACATGTCATTGACTACACACAATCCTAAAACTAAATAAAGTTTGTTCATGAATAAAATATACATATTGGATTGCACAATAATAATTATACATTTTCACGTCATTGTTTTTTTGGATTCCAAATTTTAAAATATATAAAATGTATTTACATGTTTGTTAAAATGGGTTCAATAGTGTTACACACAGTTTATCGACTAACATTGAGGAAATCTAAATTCAGAGATGTCATAATANTTTCCTTATTTTTCTAATAGTTACATTGACGAAATGTTTTTCTCGATGTATTTTGAGATATCTGGCTCCAAAAGCCAAATCAAGAAGTCACTCTTCGCTTCCAGAGATATTTTATCTGGTCTCATACTCGGGAAAACTTCAATTTTGAAACGCGGGACGATTAAATTGAAATTTTTTATGAGCATATTCTGTCACTATGCTTGATACAAAAATTTTCATCTATAGAAACCAAGATAACTGGCTGATCTGAGCGAAGGGCTTTTTTGACAGGTCTCACACATCCTTGGGAATTTTTTACAAAATTTCCTTTCTTTTCCAGAAGTACTAATAATTTCCTTCTTTCTTCAGTTTCAACTTTTTTTTGTGAATATTTCTGAAACTTCTGGTTCACAGGAATGGTTTCTTTTCAAGCGTCTGAACATCATTTTCACAAAAATAACATATAATATTCTTAAGGCTTTCCATTTGAGGAGGATGAGGAAGATGATATGTTTTTTTGTTATGAACCAACGTAGAGAGTTCATGGTCGTTATCAGTTTGTACCTGTAATGAAAAATACACATGCAATTGAATGAATTCAGATAACAGAATGTGATAATCCACAAATTTCTTCAATGTCCAAGTAAAAATTTATAATGAAAAAGTGTGCTAGCTAACTTGATAGGATTTATAGCAGAGTCTCTATTAGGTTGGCCAATAAAAAAAACATGGCCGATTTCTTATAGAAAGGAGCTCATTCCTTCTGTGGGATACGATCCAACCAACGATGTTTTCAATGCTTTCTATTTCTATCAAATTACGAACTTTTACTCAACTTGCAATGTTTGTTCGTATTATGTTTTAGTTAGGGTGGAATCAATGTTATGTCAATGTTATCAATGTGTCATTCTATTTCCAATATAGCGTATGACCCAAAATGTCATCACTCAAATGATATTGGTATCAAATGGAAGGGTTTGTTGGACAAAATACAAAAAATGTAATAATGTCTCTCTCTAAATTCAATATGGCGGATCGCCGAAGATAACTGAATAATTTAAAATAAAAGGAGTATACTTTTATGATACATTCTACGATGTATATATTTTTAGTTATGCATACATTGTCAACGAAACTTTTGTCTTTTGACAATAAAAGACATTCCATAAATGATTCCATAAAATTGAAAATGTTGAATTATTAAAGAAACGGTTAACCAGAATATTTTTTTAAATCAAGATTTCAAGAAATGTTTCCTATAATAGGTACCCCTTTTTCTGAAAGAAAATGTGTTTTACTCAAAGAGAGTAAAACTTGATCAAGTGTCTTATTTTTATCATTTATAGACATAACAATAATGTTTGAAAACATATTTCTATTCAGTGAGTGTTACTTCTTTGCATAGATTTTTTTAAACCCAGTCACATCATAATGATTCAATGTTTCAACTGGAATGTACACCAAATCACTATCACTGCCAATATCACTTGAAATATATTCTATCTTTCAGGCAGTTAAGTGTTCTATCATGTAATAGTCCGTATATACTAAATCCAACAGCAAGTCTTCTACTGAAAAATATGGTTTTTTCCAGAAGGTAATGAATTACTTTTTCCGTTAACAAGGGATTATTGTAACTCATTGAAAGGTATTGATAACGAGAGGCGAACACATTTGTAATGAGAACATTGGGTATACAGGGTGTTGCTGAGAAACACATTGAATATAGGGTGTGTATACAGCTTTAAAGGATAGTTGTCATGAAGGTATACAGGGCGTGTAGCATTGAAAACATCAGCGTTGAAAAAAAAACATGTATGGTATCAAACTATACAAGGTGTGTGTGTGTGTACCGTTAAAGAAAAACGCTGTCACGAAGGTGTACAGGATACGTGCAGCGTTGAAGAAAAAACATGGCTACTATCGAGGTGTGTGTGTGTGTGTGTGTGTGTGTGTGTGTACAGTGTTGAAGAAAAAAAAAGTGGTGGTTAGTGTTACGTACGACATTGAAGAGAAAATCATGGTTGAGCCATCAGAGGGGTATAAATAGTGTGTATAGTCTTGGTGAAAGTTGTAACGAATTCAGAGAGCATTGGGTATACATGGGTGTGTATGTTAGACTCTGCGTTGATTGTTTTCCGAAAGCTTAGACGGTTTTGAACATCAACACAAGTACCTACTGGTAGTAGTTTGAGGAGATACTACTACTTCATAGTGATGTAGGGAAAAAT